TGGCCCTCTTATTATTGTCATTTATTATATTTATTTTTATTATTGGTTTATTTATTTATTATTTATTTATTTATTTATTTGTTTATTTATTTATTGGTTTTCTGAAACAGAGTTTCTCTGTGTAACAGTACTGGCTGTCCTGCAACTCACTTTCTAGACCAGGCTGGTCTTGAACTCACAGAGATCTGCCTGCCTCTGCCTCCTGAGTGTATTATTATTAACAGTGTTGCAGTTTGCTCACAGGGCTTTCTGCACACCAGCAAGTGCTCTGCTACTGAGCTACATTCCAGTCCTGCTTTGAATTTTTAACGCTGTTCTTCTCTCTGGTTATGTGCACTCATGTGTGTCCTTATGGGAGTATGTGCATATGTGTTCAGATGCCTGTGGAAGTCAGAGGCACCCAGATCCTCCTGCATCTGGAGCCACAGGCAGTTGTGAGCGGCCCAACATGAGTCCTGAGAACTGAACTCAGATCCTCTGCAAGAGCACAGTGTGCTCTTAACTTTTGAAACATCTCCTTTGTTCATTGTTTCAAAATTTATTAAACAAGTGAACTTTCTCTTTCCCATCCAAACTATTTTGCCTTTTCAATCCACAAACAGGAAGAACTGGGTAAGCAGGCTGCATGAAGGGTAAGTAAATGGAAGTCCTGGCCCAGTAGGAATGATCCTGCATATCTCCACTATAGTGGTACTTACAGGAATCTACATGAATCATACACACACACACACACACACACACAAACACACACACACACACACACTGTACTGATCCCCACTAGGTGCTCTGTTTTCCTTAATTATGAAAATTTTGCCATCAGAGAAAACCAGGGGGAGGGGTACAGGGCACTTCTCTTTGCTGCCTTTGTAACTTCTTGTAAAAATAGGATTATTTCCAAAATACATTTCAGCCAAACATTGACTGAAAAATCCAAAAGACTAATGGCCCCAAATGTTCCATCTCTGTCTTTCTCTCAAAGGACAGTCACTGTCTGGGGGATGAAATAGCCCAAATGTGTCAATAGTATGGATGTGATTCACAGTAAATTACTACCATGGCTTCCACTGAGTTCCTGTTCTAGGCTACATGTGTTTTGATTCCTGCCTTCATCATAAGCATCATTACTTTCACATGTTGTAACAACTCCAAGAGGATATCCTGTTTTCCTCCGCTGAAGAAGAAAAATTGTAGATTAGTGTGATCCCAGATATTTGGAAGAAGGAATTCCAGCTGCCCCCCAAATATTCTAGAGTATTAATGGGATGAGTAGATGCTATAAATTCCTATCGACCCCCAACTTGGGGAGCCTTGGTAAGTCTTCTGTTCACTCAAGATGACAGTTCATACTTGTTGGTCCTCTGCTTGTGTCCTGTAGACTTACCCTTTCAGGGTATGCCAGCTCATTTCCCTTTGAGCACTCTGTGGCCTTTTCTGACCTAGAGCTACCCCAACTCATAGGGGGCAGGGAAATCTCAGTGCTTGCAGCCACCCTTGGCAAATCCTAACTGGACAAACACCTCGACTCCGCCAGCTGCTCCACTCCTGTGGTGTGTGTGTGTGTGTGTGTGTGTGTGTGTGTGTGTGTGTGTGTGTGTG